TAGGTACCTATAAAGTAACAGGTTAGTAATTGATGTTTGAATACTTTTAAAGTTAGGAAGTGAATAAATTCTATAGTTACTACATAGTGAATATTTAATATTATAAATATTAAGATTGTAATATACTATTTAATTTTAATCCGCATACCTATCCGCTAGATTCATCCAATACATACTTTTAAATTTAAACTATAGTATAATATTACTAATTAGTAAAATTGTGTCATCATTATTCGTAGGATAGTTTCCATTATACTTTAAAGTGTTTTCGATTGAAGATTTCCAAGTTTTTCTAAACCATTTTTTGGGAAATTTTTAATTTATCGAAAATGTCCAAGCTCATCCTAAAATTGTAGTCCTTAATAATGGCCATAATGCTCACGAGTCAAATTGCTAATTCAGAAATTGAAAAACTGTGGGGAATATGGATTTAGGTATTTAATATTAATGCCAAATATATATATGAGTAAAATATGTGGCGATAGTACCTTTCATTAATGTTTCTTCATAACGATTTTCAAGCTCTTTGATGTTGCAGTTAGTGAGAGCCGGTTAACAGAAACTGAAGATAATTTTAAACTTTAAAGAAACCATAGTTTACAGTCGTATATACTATTGTAGTCTATATAGATATAGTATTAGTCATCATTTGTCATTCATAAAGGTCAAAGAGTAATTTGTAGACATAAAATATATTAATATTATATATTATAACGACTATAATAAATTTGACTAGGTACCTATATTTTAATAGAAATTTATTTTTGGACTGGATAAACTTTTTTGTTTCTAACAGTATGACTGATTTTTGTATGGTTAAATAAATATATTAATGATTCATAGATTTTCCTTGTAGAGGGAAAATATTGAGTACCCCACAACAATGAATATTTGACTAATAATAATTTATAAATATTTTTTTCTCATTATAGAAAAAGAAGATTATATTATTCAGTATTCCTGTGACAGGATCTCAAAGCTTAATATCTTGTTTACAATATTATATTTGTAACACAACCTTCACAATTTCACAGGATAAATTTTAAATGTATTATAATTGTTAGGTATTAAATATTGAAAAACTTCATATACCTATATCAAGAATCTGTATTGATACTTGATAGTTGCAATGTTACATACTGACATAGTTGATAGTTGTACAGACATTTTCGGTAACTCAAAAGTAAAATGAGAAAAATCTACCAGTTCATTTTGAAGTAATTAGTTATTTACTCATTAGTTGTCGCATGTGTATTTTACATTTATTTATAATTGTTGACGTTTTTTGACAGTTTTTTTAACTGTATTTATTAGTTTTTAAAACTATACGAATGAATAGGACCTTAAACATTCGCTCTTTAAAATTATAGAATCAGAAAAACTGTATATTATAATTTGCTGTATGCCTGTATGCGTACATATACCTACATTAATACGTCATCATTGTTGTATTACGAATTTGAACAAACTTTCTCAAATTTCGATATCGCACATGGTCCTCAGTTGGTTTAGTTACGGCACTACAAGTACCTATATAGGTATTATAATATAATTTATACTATGTAATATATATCTATATGAATAATATGATATACCGTATTACCGTTACCATAATATTATTATATTATATCTATTCTGTTGATGCGATATATTATGTATCATAATATAAATGAAATAATACAAAACTTTTTTAGTTATAGTGAAACGAGTAATGTGATTTAACATTCAGTCTGGTATGTACGTATTCCGTACGCACATTTTATTTTTTTACGGTCAGCTGTGAAGCTCTTATTCATAATATTTTACATCAATCTTCCTAAGTTATGCAGGTATATTAATATAATATATATGTACGCTGTTCTAGTGTTCTGCAGTAAGACAGTGACAATTAATTAACATGAACAGAGGAAGTATAATAATAATAATTTAATAGAGCACATAATATTATATTTTTAAATAATTTTCTTATTTAAACATTAGCTAATTACTTAAGAATGAAAATTCAAAATCCAATCCAAAATTAACAAAAAAATGATTCGTGATGGGAATTACATATACTCGATACTCCAGTACAACACAGCCCACATCGAAACTATAAGATTTATTTATTCGAAGATATTATAATATAGGATATCACTATATGGGTATTTTTATACCGTGATTCGGTAATTACCGTTATTACCTAAAATACCGTACCTCAGTAATTACCGAAATACCATATGGCATACATTACCGACGTTTTTTATTTATTTTTTTTATATATTCATAATGACATAATATAATATTGTAATTTTCATTATCTGTTATAATCTGATATCATATATCAAGGACTAAAATTATAAGAATGGATAGGACACGCTGGGGCGACGGTATTTTCGGTCTATACCCATAATTAACAGTATTTTCGGTAATTACCGTATAACGGGTAATACCATAGATACCGGTAGTAAACAAATACCGGATACCGGTATCAACATTTCAAATACCGCCAGCCCTATAATAAGTACTAAGTATGGTACGGCTGGAGGTATTTTAAATTTTGATACCTTTATCCGGTATTGGTTCACTACCGGTATCTACGGTAGTACCGAAAATACCATACCCCGGTAATTATCAAAAATATCGGTAATTATTAGTATACCGAAAATACCGCCAGCTCTATAATCCTATCCATTCTTATGATATTTATGATTAGATAGAATGTACTAGATGTCTGGATAGGACATCGGACTTATCAACTGAGAATAAAGTGATACATTTTTAGAGATTATAAGGGTTCCTTTATAATTGATAATTATTGTAACCTCACCTCAAAAAAGACCCTTAATAGCCTATCTCTCTCCTAGATATTGAACTTTCTCTCTTCCCCAAAAAAGACCTCAACCTCTTGCGAAGCGAGTATAGGCGTATAAAAATAATAAATAATAAATGCTGGTATATGCCATACGGTTTTTTAGGTTATTACCGGGATACGGTATTTTCGGTAATAACGGTAATTACCTAATCACGGTATACCGGTATTCTGAAATACCGAAAATACCGGATACCGGTATTTTTTAAATACCTCTAATTATCGGTATACCGAAAATATCACCAGCCCTAAGGTATGTGCATAATAGGTATAAGTTATAAAATGTAAAATAGTTAACAACAAATTTGTTGCATCATTTTTGAAGTTCTCATGTAATTTTGTGAGGTGTGTCATTTGTGTAGGTAATTTGCATGTGTGCGGGTTAGGTTATCCGTGAGGCTTTTTAAACATATATAGGCATTCCATACAACAAAAAAGTGGTTATTCACCCCCTGAATATATACATACTACCTATATAGTATACCATAATACATAGCCATATATAGCCATCTAAATAAATACTATATAGTGGCAAATTTTTAAGTGTGTACCTTGCCACGAGGGTCGTGTACTGCACACGTCGTGTCGGACCGCCGTATTCGGCGGCGTCAGCGGCGACAACACCGCGGCGGGGGCGTTAAACCCGTCAGAGACGGTATTTACACGCGAGCGCAATCGTCCGTCGAGCGCGGGCGTGCGGTAAACGGCCCGTGTAAAACCGCGGCCGATATATGGACCGCATCGCCTGTACCTACCTATATATGCGATATTATGATGCCCCGCGTATTCACCATAATATAATATATTATACTCGGCCGTCCATCGCCACCGGTGATTTATCGCCGCTATTATTATATACTATACAAGTGTGTGAGTGAGTGTGAGTGACAAGCGCACAGTGCAGACTCGGAGTGCGTATTTCGGGAATCGTTATAATGCTGCACAGTGCTGCTGCTACTGCTGCATTGTTCTCGAGGTTATTTTCGTATGACGTGTCTGCTTGTGCTTGCGAGATCGCATAGTATATAATATTATGTTTTTATAAGAATATTTACTTTAGCTGCCTCAGTGGTGTAACTCGGTGCAGTAAGTGAATATCCGTGGTCGGGAATATATACCTGCAATATACGCATAGCTGGTGATGCCTCCAGGTTAAATTCAAAGAGTCTAGTTGGAACTTGAAAGTTTAGTCTTGTAATGTTGGTACCAATGATTTGGCTGGTGTATTTTTTTTTTAATGTAGAAAAGTTTTAATAAGCCGAGTTTGAATTTAGATGTCATCAGTATACTGACTATATTATAGTCATCACTCATCACCGATAAAAATTTATGCCTGCAGCTGTCTGGGCAATCCACTGGTACCATTATGTTATTTGAAACCAATTTACTGCAATATCGTCAGTACTTGTATTTAGTATATATTGACCGCCATAAACATTACAAGTACCTTACAACAGTTACAACATATTATGTGGCACTTTAGTCTGCAGTATAGCAGTCAACACTCAACATACATGACTATATCATATATTCATAAATTATTATAAAAAAAAAAAATAGAAATGTATCCTTTTGTTTTGGTGCCTTTGAAATTTGTAGGACATTAGTCACCCCATAAGGTATTAGCCTCATTTGGTTTACCTTTAGCATGGTCCTGGCAATCCGGGTGGGTAAGTATTTCAGGAATTGTTATAACTATTATTTTATATAATGCTGCAATAATCTTCTCGAGGTTATTTTCATATGTGTCTGTGCATGAGCGTGATCGCTTCTACCTATATATTATGTTTTATATAGGTATACTAATCATACCTTATATTAAAGTTTGTATAATATAAGAATCTCCGCTGATATCGTTGACTCGTAAAAGAGTTAATAACCTATTTATGTAGTAACCAGTAAGTATATACTTGATATGCAATATACTATATACCACATTTAGGGAAGATTCGACACCGGTCGCAAAGCATAAAGTTTATACCGACCGCTATGTATATCGTTCCACTTGAATATATTTATAGAATAATATAATTATGTTATTATATCATACTCAATACACATTAGATAAAAAAGTAAAAAAAAAATCTAAAAAAAACTGCCCTTCACTGTGTGTAAGGGGGAGGGGGGTCTGTTGAGCGTCGGGTGAATTTCATGGAAAGTGGTGCAATCGGCGGTGGTGGTGACGGTGTCTGCGACGACGACGACGATTGGTGGTGGCAGTAGAGTTTCCGTCGCCGGCCGCCGCCGCGATGGGCGGGGTCACGGCGTCGCGTCGTGTTCCAGCCTCCTGCGCTCCCGTTGAACCGTCGCCGTCAAGCAGAGGACCCCCACCCCACACGTCGGTCTCACGGATTAGCAACCGACCGTCGTAAACATAATAATACGATAATGTGTTATATAGTGTTAACGCTACGCCGGTAGTCGTATTGGCGCGGCGCAGTGCATAGCAGTGTAGCGACGACGACGGCGGCGGCGGCAGCTCATACGCGTGCATTTCGACCTGTGACCGTTGCATATTATATCGCATTGTGTATACTTTCGTACACTTCACGCGCGACCACAACAATCATCGCATTATCGCTTAACAATATTATATCGTTATAATACATCGTCACAGCGTCACGTCGCGGCCACGCATTACAGCACGGCACAGAGACAGTCGATCGTCGGGTGTACGCGAGCGCCACGCTACGGTTACGGATACGGTACGTTGCTACTCGCGGTGCGAGCGATAAACGTTTAAACGCACGCGAGCGCGCACCCGTGTCGTCGCGTCTTAACGGTCGCGTTAATCGCCGCAGCGGCGCGACCATAGCCGTACACCGTGACGGCGGCGCGCACGGTACCGGTAAAATCCGAGAAAAATATTCGTAGTTATCGTCCGGCGTTACCGCCGCGACAGTCTCACCGTGATCGCGGTCGATGAGCGTCGCTTAAGCAGCGAGAAGTGCGTATGCTGCTGCTGCAGTTGCTGCAGCTGCTCCGGCTTATCGCCCGCTGCTGCGGCGCCGCCGCCGAAGAAGGCGATGCTGCTGGCTACCGACCGATAACAGAGCTGACCACCACACCGCGGGCGGCGCATGGACTTGCAGCACCGACAACCGAGACACCGTCCGTCACCGTCATCTGACCGCCCTGCAGGTATGTTCGAATCACCATATATAATATTTCATACCTACCGCACTTCTGTACTATGTCCCAAAAGTCCAGTATCGCCTTAAGAAATGCCTTTGCAGTGAGACCGTCAAGCTAGATAAAAACCGCATTTGGATATCCCGATTTGCCATTGAGATAATTGGGGTGGTATACGGGACTTTTTGGATGTACCTACTATATATTTATAGAATAATATGTTAAGTAGAGTACCTATATAAAATGTATATAATATATACTATTTTGAGTTATGTCGGGTACGAGTAACGATCGATTTAATGTTTAAGACATACATCATTATGAGTTTCATTAAATTTAATAATTTTTAGTGAGGGCTTATGCGTGAAATCGATTATACCCCATACCCATAAATGACATTTATGCAGGGTATATTATATCATACTTTGGGGTCTCTAAGGTCAAAACTCGATTTTTGCGCACTTACTATTTTTGGGCATATATATTATAAAATCATGGATTACTACTAATAATTATAATCAATGATATAGGTATATAGTATTTATTGCAACTGAAGCGATGGCCACAACTATTTTCACGTGCTAGTGTTTTCGAGCAGGGTCACGCGCCTACAGTTGCAGCTCATATAGGTTATTATAGGTTTAATTAATATAATTGTTAATAATTAATAATGCGTACACCTTTGGCGGTAAACTTCAGTTTCCGACGCGCAAGCAGATTCAATATGCTCGACCGAATACGATTTGCTTTAATAAATAAATAATAATTAATTCTCGATAAGAGAGCCTGCGGGACCGTCATCGTCATCGACCCACTGTAGTTTGCACCGGCGGCCGGAAAAAGCGTCTGTAAAAAATCGGCGGCGGTACGTCTGTAGAGGAAAGAAAAAAACGCGACAGTAATATTGTGTAAAAAAAAAGTCTGAGCTGGCCGCCTTTTGTTGTTAATCACATATGTACATTAATTCAGCGTATTTAAAGTTCATCGGTTCATGAATTAATTAATTAAACGCGCGGTAACGTCGTCTTATCTATCCGCACCACCACCCCGCCACGTCTTTGGCTCATCGTCGTTTTATAATAATAATAATAATGTACGACGGACGGAAATGCACCGGGGGCGACCGATTATTTTGCACGCACATATTATAATATTTATCGCGTAATACCTGTGTGCAAGGAAAAAATTGTATAATATCAGTCACTGCAACATATTATTATAGCAATAATCGATTACACGTCATTGTGCCGTCTACAACAGGTATGACTCCTCGCATGAAGCAGTACCGCGTATGAACATTTTTCGACGGGTTCAAGTGAACGCAACTAATTAATATTAATAATTTCATATTCTACATCGTGTTGTATAGTGCATGTATTATTATTATTTAGTATAAAACACATTTATTTGTTTTACAATGTTATTTTTCAGCGCATAATAAATGATATATTATAATATGTGCGCTGAAAAGTAGTATAGACGTACAGTATGATATTATGTATGAAATATGAATTATGTATTGTACCTATGATATAATTTATACAACAACACTCAAAGTATAAGTCATTACTAGTGTTTTTCTTTCGAAATTCTTCGAGCGCGGGAGCGGAAAAAAAATAATAACGAATCCGTTTCAAAGGGATTGTGGCTGTCGTCGTGGTATTAGCGCGTGTTTACGTTTCATAATTACGCGTGGGCGGCGTGGGCGTACGCGCACGGGAAACAAACGCATAACCGTAATAATCATAATCGCGTGTGTAATCATTTATAATTATAGCTCTGGCCGTCACAGATTTGTCGTCGTGGATGTTGGCTCGACGCCCTGTCGCGTATGATATAAGTGTTTTTTTCTCTTTATATACGATTTTTTTTGATTTTTTTTTTTTGGCCGTCTATTATAATATTATACACGCGAGGCGATATAAATAATACAACACCGGCACCAGCCGCGGCATATTATTTTTTTCGAATACGCACACACGCCGTGTACTTGTATAATATGATACGAATTATGAAATTATATTACTAGACTTTTAAACCATTGTTGTGGCGGCGGCGTCTGTTTCCCGCTGCATACAATAAATTTATCTTACACATCATCAAACTTATAATCTCTACCGTTACAATAGTATTCCTCAAAGGAGGCGGTAGATAAGTAATAGATATCCATCCACATCACTTTATGGTTCTATATTAATTAATCGTATATATTATATTGTTTTTTGCTTTAAATGGTCAATGTTGAGAAACTTTGATTTATGAAAAATATTTAGAAGAAATCTCGTTTAGCGGTGCCACCGCCATGTTATACTACCGCTAAATTATAAAGGTATGACAAGCGTCTATGTATACAGGATGATTCAACAAGCATGCTCACCTCAGTGTATTTCCTAATTAACAATTTTATTCCAATTCTGATTTTTAGAATTTTAAGTTTTATATTAAGGACCATATATTTTCAATTGCTTAGATTTTTATATATACTTTAAGGAGTGCCCTGAGGTGATATAAACTTCTGTTATACTAATGAACCTACCTTTTTACTGAAAATTATCAAGCCGATGATTTTTTTGAAAATTTTTATGAATCTAAATCAAAATCTGAACTCTTAAGTCTATAAGTTAGTAATATGTATTTACTAAGAAGAAAAGTACTTATTTTTTAAAAAAATATAAAATAGATGTAATATTGGATCTAGTACTTATTATACTGAGACAATTTATATACTGTTATAAAATCAACATTTTGATCTATTAATATTGTTTAAAGAACTTAAATTGTTTAATTAGTTTTATATCATCATAGCGGATAGGATAATAGGATATATAGGTTATAAGTATTATATTTCTTCCAAACACATTATCATGGACCTATATTATCCTTATTACAAAAAGATGGATAATTCAAAAACAAAATTTTCAAATTTTGATTAAGATACATCAGTATTTTTAAAAAAGCAGTGCTTGCATATTTTGAAAAAAAATTCCATTTTATGTTATTTACAATTAAAACCTTAGGTACACAATTTTTGCGTTTATCGTTATTTAGAGTTAAAACGTTATACAAGTTTTGAGTTTATCGTTATTCAGAATAGTGTTATACCTATTAAATATAGTAATAATAACTAATGCGGGCAGACAATGGCCCGGATACAGAATATAATATAATCAATTGTAATGTCTATGTATGAAATAAATATTTATTTAAACCAATATAACTTTTAAATAAATAGATTATTTCGTTTTGCGTTATATTTTGTTCAACGAAATTTTATAAATTTCGTTATGTGGTATTTGTCGTTTAATGATATATTGATATTCTATAAATTACGTTTTGTTTAGTGATATAATATAATATATTTAGTTAATCGTTATGTTTTGTCAAATATAACGTTATAATTATAAAGTTTGCAAGCCTTGAAAAAAAAGTCATCTGAAAAACAATTTACAGTAAAAAAGAATGATTCTCAACAGAAAAGAAAGTGGTTATTTCGCTACAGGAAATTGCTTATAAATGGTATGAAGAAATATCTATTATCTATGCAGTATGCACCTACCTATTTAAAAATATGGCTCTTAAATACAACTTATAAAAGTCCTAAGAATCAGAATTTGAATAAATTGATTATTAAAGGGAAATGTGAGGGTGAGTATCTTGGTGAAACACTATTGACCCTGTATATAATATTTCATATTTGGTATAATAATGTAGGTTCGCATTTTGTACCTATAAACAATATACTGACGTATATGCACAGTACACACATATAGAGCTATTTAGGTATACCTATATTCAATACGATTTATCCTGCGCATCACTTAACTGCTCGATGAACGAGAGCAGTCTGCAGTAGTCATGTTTGCGCTCGTTTGTTTGTCGATTTGTTTGTGTAATACCCGCTGCCGCCGATGTAGCAAACATCGACGGCGTCTCGATGACGGTAGCACCGGTACCGTCGGAGGCTATTAGCACTGTGGAACAATATAGTGCATGTACATGTAGGGTGGCAGCGTATTAGCTGCATGTAGAAACACAATATCGTATTATTATGATTATCCGTCATAGAAATAAACCTTTTAATTCGGAGGCGACTGCTGCGATGACATTGTACACGGATAACTACAGTGCAAACACGGGACCGCAGCGCCAGTGATGGACTAGAATAACATACCTGCAGAGATATATTATTATATTATGCCTGTGGAGGCTTAAATCATAAGTCATACGGTCAGGATTTACACCGCCGCCGAAGTCCACCGACTAGCGTTTCTCACTCTCTCTCTCTCTCGTTCTCTCTCGCGTGGCGATTCCCGCTGATCGTACAATATACGTATAATATTTTACAAAGCCGTCATCGCCACAGGCGCCGGAAGTCGGTTCCGTCGTATTTACAAACACATATTGTCTCGTCTAAGCCGCTTATAAAATATTATATAGTATATATAGTGCGAAGGGACAGCCGCGAAGGAGCAGACAACGGAGAAGACGGTCGACGCGACGCGACGGCGGAAAGACACACAAGATATCCAGTGGATGTGGATGTCGTTTGTGTAAACCCTAGACACCGCCGGCCGCCTCTAATTCGTGTAATAGCTGCAGTATAACATAATATAGGAACGAGGCCGTTTCGACTACTAATAATATTCGTAATTATAATTGTAACGGGGATCCCTCTGTTGTCGTGTATATTATACTATAACCGCTCCTCTACCCCCCGCCACTGCCCCGCGTTCGTGCGTGAAAACACGTGTAAAACACGGGACGGCGGTGGTAGCTGCAGCAATAAATGAGACGCGCGGCGCACACTGAGCTGCTGCAGGAACGGCGAAGTGGTTAGGGCGGCGGTGGCGGTGGTTGTGGTGGCGGTTGCTGCAAAGAAACAAACCGGCTAATTATAATGTAAATGTGAAAATGAGCGACTGCCGTCAAAGGGACGGCGGCAACGACCACAATTATATTACACGACTATATACACCACTCGCCTCGCCCCGCCGGCCCACGCGAGATCG